CTTGAAATTTTAGGCGTGTATTCATCAAAAATAGGTGAATCTTTAAAAAATATCAAACAAATATTTTACATAATATAAATTGACCAAAATACCTCCAAAAAGATTCGGGGGGTATTTTGATCATTTTGTTTTTTGCGAATAATTTTTTTATATTTTTATTAGGTGCGCCTTGATGAGAAGAACAAGCACCTAAAATTTCTAGTGATTTGGATTTGTAAAAAAAAATAAAAAATTCAAGCACTACCCGACATCCGTGATCATCAGATCAGCCTAGATTCAATCTGGGCCGTTGGGCTCATATGTTCATATGAGCTAGTGGGCTAATCCCAACTGTTTCCTATATATATATATATAAAACAAATGACAAAGTATATTAATGAAAATACACCAAGATCTGCACCAAAAGGATCTTACATCCTTTCTACTGATTCATCTGGAAGAGCCCCATTAATATGCTTTCGAGCATTATTCATCTCCTGAACCCGCAATTGAAAATTCAAGAACAGTTACAATTGCTTCATAAAAGAAAGTGAAATTTGCAGAAAATACAGAATTTCGCTGTAGCATAAACAGCCATAAAACCTGCAACATTCTTATATAAAATAACATTCAAAACATTGACTGTTTCAGTAATATGTTATTGTCCCAATCTTGGAAGGTGTTTGACCAAGAACTTCAGATGGTTCCAACTTTTGAAACAACATATTCAAAGAGGAAAAGCTCTACAGGATACACATCTTTTACATTTAAGTTGATTTCTACCTTATTCCTGTGCTGCTCATAAACAGCCATATCTGATGAGCTTTTTGTGTTACCATTATCTTGAATTACTCCAGTCGAGTGCTGCCCATTACTGACTTCTCTGATATCTGCTTGCTTTTGCTGCTCCGGCTCCTTTTTACGACCAAATTTTACATCATAAAACAACTTGAAGTCCTAAAACAAGAAAAAAGTTTGATAAGATATGACAACAGAGACAAAAAGTAAAAAAGAAGAAACTTTAGGTTCCAATCACAACTTCACTGGAGTGCTTAAACCTCAACTGCAAAACTCACTAAAAGTTATAGAAAGCAGATAGATATAATGGAAGCATATAAACTGATTCCATTTCAAACAAGGAAAAATATATCATATCCCCATTGTCAAAGTAACAACCAGAACCATCTAGCTTACCACCTTTTAATCAATCGGTTAGATGGTGATGGGGAGAAAGCAGGGTGTAAAATTTGTTAACTCAATTGTTCGGAGCGACCCACTCGCCTCCATTTCGATCGAACCCATCGATGGGCAGGGATGACCAGGGTTGACAATGGGTCGAGTCGGGTCCCCCACACCCTAAAATATAGTGTGGGACCCAGATTAACCATATCCAAATATATTTCATATATTGGGACCCAAAAATATACTTAGACCCGGACCGGAATAGTGTTTGGGGTCCAAGATGTAGACCCAGACCCGACACGCCGTGTCTAATTTTTTGACCCATACCCGGACCCAGATGGGGTCTACCCCTCGGGTCCAGAGTCCTGGGTCCTAGGTCGGGTCTGGGTCCATTGCCACCCCTGGGGATGACCTCATGATCAAAAATACCATATGGATCATATTGCATGATTCCTTCGACCAAAAGATGCAGATCCTCATAAAAACAATTTGAACACACTCCAAACATAAAATAAAAAGGAAAAAAAAAATGTGGCTAATCAAAGTAACACATGAAAGCAACAAATAAAGTTATTCATAGAAAACAAAACTAAGTCAGTGTTAACTTGAAGAGTAAGGATAAGAGAGCAAGATACTTAAGCTCTGAATAAGAGGGAAATGATCAAACTAGCATAACTAAATTAACAAGTGAATGGCAAAATGACAGGAAATACCACACGTACACCTTACAATTTCGATATAACACACAAAATTTTGCAATGGAGATTGAAGCATTGAAGCCTTACAAAAGTCCGATTGAGACAACAGAAAAATGGCCTAAAGGGTTTTACATAGCCCAACCCTATAGAAAACAATATAAGAATATCAAGCAAAAGAGACAGAGAGAGAGGCCTTCTTAGTAACCAACAGGGATTAAGACTCACATTTTCCGATAATCCATACAACATAGAATGGCGTAAACAAATAATAATCGATCAACATAAAAAATGCATGTATACAAAAGTTTCAGACCAGTTAAACAAAACTGCAAAACTATTAAGCTCCAGAAAATGATAATACAATGAACAGAGAAACTGCAAAGGAGAACACATAATATAGAAGTTCTAAGTTCAACAAGTAAAACAAAGGGAAATTATTTACCAAAAAAAAACAAAGGGAAATCTCATTAAACAATAATCAAGATCTAAGTTCTCACTACAAAATAAAGCTCTACAAGCTTCATCAGAACAAAAAGAAAAAAAAAAGGTAATCTCATATTCTACAAAATGGATAGAAACCAGGGGAAAAATGCATCAAATAAAAACCAGTGAATTGCTGCAAAAGAGAAGAAGAAATGGTGAAAAATAGAAAGAAAAAGGAAGTACCTGAAAGGTCCAGCGAGTGAGAGAGGGCTTGTCGTCGGCCATGGCTCAGGAATTCAAAAAAGAAGACCCACCGTCACTTCCGCTTGTGCTGAACCCACAATGTAAAGCTAAATTACGGATTAAAAAACTCATGGGCCAATTACGAGTACGCAAACTTACCCCGTCCAAAACCCTTTTTCTCACTCTTTCTTCCAAAAAGTATACTTTCTATGTAAATACCCCTAACAAAAAAAAGTTCCCTTTTTTTTTACTAAAATGTTATTTTCGTACAAAAAGAAAAAATCAATTGGTACTTATTATCGGACCCAAATAGCACATTGCTAAAGCGCACTATGCAATGGTTGGAGCGCACTATCTAGAACATATATTATCGGAGCGCCTTCGAATACTGCTGGTGCGCTGTAACTCCAAGACAAGTACCACCGAAGCGCGTTATTCAAGTGCCAGAGCGCCCCGTCTCTAGAACAAGCACTACCAGAGTGTTGTTATCTCCAGAACATGCACTGCCGAAGCGCATGTGTCTCCGACAAGCACTACCAGAGTGTTGTTATCTCCAGAACATGCACTGCCGAAGCGCATGTGTCTCGAGTGTCGGAGGGATGTCTCTCGAGTGTCGGAGTGTCCTATGCAACTGCCAAAGCATTGTGGCTCCAAAGCATGTATAGCAGGAGCGCTCTTTAATACTGTCGGAGCGCATTGTCTCCATAACGTATACTGCCAGAGTGCCTTCTGCTACTGTTAGATAGCCATATGCAACTGTCGAAACGTTGTGGCTCCAGGCATGTATTGTTGGAACGCATTTTCGTAAAAAAAACTATCTTGTACTAAGAAGAGCATTTTTGTCCAAAATAAAAAAAACGATTTTGGTTGGGGGTATTTGCATTAACAATATACTTTTGAAAAAAAAAAAAAGAAAGTGAGATAAAAGTTTTGGATGGAGTAAGTTGGTGTATTTTGGGGTTTTTTTAAAATTTACCAAAACTCAAAACAGTTAAAACTTAAAATCTTAATAATAAAAAATGATTTTTTTAATTTCTTTATTCTTTTGTGAGTCCTTAAGTACGGAATCGAGCGCTTCACGCGTCGGAATAAGGAATCCCCGTGTCCTGATCGCTGTTAAATTACCGAAATATCCCCAAATTTTGGATGTTCCCAAACTGCCCATTTGTTCGATAATTTACATAACTTGTTCTTCGTCGTTTGATGGATAAACGGTCCTCATAAATATGGAAATGCAAAAATAGCTTTCTATGAATATTTCGTTTGGAAAAAGCGAGAAACAGGGAATTTATACTGCCAGACCGTCTATTTTTTGGTAAAATGAGGTCACAATTACCTGTAAATATTGAATGCGGAATCTATTAGACAAATTTCCAATAAATATTTTAAAATTTTAAATTATGAGTCTGAAAAATAAATGCAACCATTTAAATTTCATATCTAAGGGTTAAGATCAACCATGTACCAAGTATAAATAATATTATTGTATACTTCTCCTATAAAAAAAAGTCATGCCGCCTTGAAAATGCTGTGACAAGGCAGTATTAAGTGTTGGGAAAACTTTAAATTGATCAACCTCGAGGTTGCCGATAGGAAAACATACTTGAATTTAAGCCATCAAAATGGCATATATGTGTATATTTTTTGAAATGCACATTCATAATAAACGTGAAAAATCCATGTCTGAATAAAGAGTGTTTTGCATTGGAACTGCTTTCTTGAGGACCAACTTTACTTTTAACGAGCATAGGCCTTGTGCTAACTATGTCCTCTTAAAATGATGAATGAAATGGCTTACAATAAAATCAATGTCTAAAACCTATATTGGGCAATTGATTCGATCGCCCCAAATGGAGGATACAAATAAACAAACAAATGTAGAAATAGAAATAACTTTAAGAAGAAAAGGGACGGTACAAAAAAAAGATCATCCCTTTCTTTATTAAGAATAAGTAGTGTATCTAGACATAATAAATGAAAGAGAAGTGAATGGAAAAAGATATTCAAATTGTGAAGATATAAAAACCTGTATTTATTTTTTTTGTACAAATTTTTTTTTTTTTATGTATGCCCATATTAGAAAGATAATTGATTGCATATGTTACCTTCTTTAGTAGTATACAGTTTTCTAACGCTATAAATTGAAGCTTTCTAATCTTATAAATTGAAGCTCTTATATATATCTTCAATCAGTTCTAATCTTATAAATTGAAGCTCTTGTACATCTATTCAATCAGCCCTGAAGGCTCTCAAATACATTGAAATTCAGTATTTACTTACACACATTAACCGATTCTCTAGAGTCAGAAAACAAAGAATCATAAACAATATCAAAAAGCAAAATCAATGATAATCAGGTGATCAACTGAGTCCCATGGACGTCGAGGGCCCGCCTACCAATCAAGATACGAATTAGCATTTTTTACTATATAAACTTTACTTTTTACCATCAAGTGACAGCACCTTTTCCTATATAGACTCATCATTGTAAATTCATCTTGAGAAAAAAAAGTGCGGTTGCTTCATCTAACAAAATCACGTTGTATGGTTATAATTTTGGAAATTTACAGAAAAATTATGTTTTATGTTCAATATTTAACAATAGTATAATGTATTTCATATTTTACACTCATATATTTTATATTTTATATTTTACACTAGGGTCATACTTTTGATAACATTTGTATTTATTTTTATACATGAGGGTAAGTTCAAATTTGATACGTTTACATTTCTCACCAACTCATACCTATAAAAATATTTAGAAAACGTTTAAAAATAATCAATAACCAATATACCCCTATAACATTCAAGGGTATTTGGTTATTTTATTTATTTTAAGTTATTTTTTTAAAAAAAATTGTATGTGTGTGATAGTGAGAAGAATGGAGACATCACATTTTGAGCTTAATTTGATATATTTAAAATAGGGAACGGATGCATCTGTGGCTGTAGAGGTAAGGTGCACCTTCAAATTTTTTCATGGTATATAATTTTGATATAAAATGTTTTTAGGATTATCTCAAAATCTATTTTTATATCTAATTATAAAATTTTAAATTTTAAAAATGGTTAAAATCAAGTAGATCTATAAACATATGAAAAATCTTGAAAATTGACGGTGTAGATAATATGTTGTAAAATGTATTATTTATGAGACTTAAAATCTTTTTATTTTTCATAGTCATACATCTCGATGTCGAGATGATCAATTAAAGAGTTTTTCAACATTAAAACTACTTTTTTGGATGGATTTTTTAGGAGCATCCATTGTTCTACATTATAAGATAGTATTCTTATATAAACTTTTTCCTTTAAAATAAAATAAAATGTACTTTACTCTCTCAAAAAGTAACACTTGAGTTTCGACATAAAACGGGAGTTTTGTTGTAAATTTCCCTATAATTTAATAGACAGATGATATTCCCTTTTCCCCACCATCCGGTACAATCCACACTGCACGAGATTATTGCAAATACAACAATTTCACGTGCCATATTAAATATTTGTTTCTTATTATTATTTATTCATCGATATATAAGGATCCCATTTCTTTATGCTAGGTTACCAAAGATAGGTAAGGATTCCATTTCTTGATGTAGATAGGATAGAGTCCCTTTTGGGCAATTATTATTATTATTATTATTATGATAAATTAGTAGGGAAAATCAGTCCCGCATCCATTTTCATTAATATAAAAACTAAAATACATTTAGGAGTGGTTTGGATACCTGAAAATATATTGTTTATGAAATATATTACTAGTATAATACATTACATGCAAATGGATTGCTACTGTTTGGGTAGTATTTAGATGCAACCTAGGACATACATTGCTCACACCGCTTAATATGAAATTGGCTACATTTCACTTTAAATTTGCTCTTACATTGCTCTTACTAGACATGGTGATTTAATATGAAATTATCTACCATGAGATCATTTATCTTTTGTATGCATAATCATTATTGTCCTTTAAATTTCAAAATAGATGACACCACTTCATATGAAATTGTCTACATTTCACTTTAAATTTGCTCTTACATTACTCTTACTAGACATGGCGGTTTAATATGGAATTGTCTACAATGAGACCACTTATCTTTTGTACGCACAATCATTATTGTCTTTTAAATTTCAAAATGGATGACACCGCTTAATATGAAATTGTTTACATTTCACTTTAAATTTGCTCCTTTTAATATACATGGCGATTTAATATCCAATTGTCTACCAAGAGACCATTTATCTTTTGTACGCACAAGCATTATTGTCCTTTAAATTTTAAAATGGATGGTTGTACTAATATCATCGAACAAATACAAAAAAATTTTAAAAAAATTCACTGCATGACTCACTTTAAGCCATCCAATTTGATATCTATGACTCACCTCGAGCCATTCAATTTTACATCTAATATATAAGAATGATTGTGACCTCCATTCACAAAAGATAAATGGTATATTTGTAGTCATTCCTATTTAATATTGAAATGCATATGTATAGATAGCATGATTATACCATGCTTGTCATGCCTCAAAGAATAATAACTCAACAGTGTGAATTAATATTGGTCATAAATATTGAGTGAACTATTTTAGTCACAACCTTTAAATATCAGTTAATTTGTAGTTTAAATAGTAAATGGTGATATATTCTAAAAAAAATTATTGTGAAATAGCAAAGTATTTGACATCTAATATTTGAGAATGATTGTGACCTTCATTCACAAAAGATAAATGGTATCTTTGTAGTCATTCCTATTTAATATCGAAATTCATGTGTATAGATAGCATGACTATACCATGCTTGTCATGCTTCAAATAATATTAACTCAGTAGTGTGAATTAATATTGGTCATAAACATTGAGTGAACTATTTTAGTCACAACCTTTAAATATTAGTTAATTTGAGGTTTAGATAGTAAATGGTGATGTATTGTAAAAAAAGTTTTTGTGAAATGGTAAAGTAATTTAAAAATTAGATTGAGATATTGGAAGAGGGAAAAATGTGCAACTAATTTATCACTTCTTTATATGTATCGAAACCCTAATCCCAAAAAATCATTTTTTTTTGAGTAATCATTATAATTTAAATAAAATATAGTTTATCAGTTCTTTTTTTCTCGATCTAAACTTAATCTCAATAAAAAAAAAAATTAAAAA